CGGCACCGAAAACACGCCCCAGTGCACAAACACTCCAAATTTGGCCTCGTCGAACCAGGCCGGCAGCGGCCGGGAGTCCAGACTCGGCCAGTCTGCGGTGTAGCGACGCGGAGGGTCGGTGCAGCGCGGAGGGTGGGTGCAGCGCGGAGCCCGCACCGCGCCGACCACCAGCAGCAGCAACAGCTTCGCGCCCACCACCCGCAACTTCATCTCGGGATTTGGCACAGCAGTCTTGGAGCCCCACCGCCGCCACTGAACGCGCAAGTGCGGGCGTGGCCCCGCCCACCCTAACTAATGATTGGCTCGGAAGGAAAAGGGGTGGGTCAACCCAGGCTGCTTGGTTACCGAGCGTCTTCCCCTCCTGGTGGGCGGTCCCTACCACCACTGGCTCTCAAAGGGAGAAAGGTGCGAGGAGGATGGGGGTGTGACCGCTGACTGAAAACTTTAGAATTCGCTGTCGGTGAAATCGAGGGGGTGTGGAAGGCCCGGTGTGTGCAGAGAACTGGGACTGGTCCATTTTGCCGTTGGCAGCTGTGGGGGACTTTTTGAGCTGTAGTATGGAAGAACAAGTCAGGAGGCAGGAATACCAGATGGACGGGCATTGTAACAGCCCTGGCAGAAATGACGGGGCAGAAGGACGATGGGAAGAAGCATTATAAGGGGAGAGGTGGGAGGAAAGTGGGCGCTGAAAGAGGAAGAACAGGTGTGACCATTTTGCCTGTCTAATAAATATTTTTTGAACTTGCTTTGGGAATTTTGAGGCAATTCAAAGAGCTTAACATCTAGTTGGAAAAACAAGACCCATGCACAGGCTACCACGAAGGAATATTTATAGAGTAACAGCGTGAGAAATTTGAGAGCCTCAGGCCCAAGGAGTGCCTTGTGTGAACCTTGTCTGGCAGGGGGGGTCACCAAATTCCTCTACAGTTGGTAGAGGCTGTGCCTGCGCAAACAGGCGGTGAGGCTGTCAGGTGTGGGAAGTCTAATGACTGCCCCGTGGCACAGCTGGTACCTACATATCAGTGAGAACTGCTGCAGGTAAGAGTTGGAAGGAACTTTGGAGACCCTCTTTACCCTTATCCCCTTCTTTATCCTCTTTACACTATCCCCTTCTTTACCCTTACCATTTTATGGAAGGAAACTGAGACCCAGAGAGGGGATTGGAGTTGCCCAAGATCATGCAACTAGTTTGGATCAGAGGTGGGACCAGAACCCAGGTATCCAGATGCAGAATCTATGTCTCTCAAATGCTGCTTCTCTCTTGCACCCCAGGAGGTGCAAGAGAACCTGACAAAAGCTGTGTCGACGGAAGCAAGCACTTCCTCATTCTAGGACTGATAAAGAAACACAGTGGCTGTTGCTGAATGAACAGTCATTTTCTTTATTTTCCGTTACTTCCTCTGCAAGATTATATTGTAATATTGTCCACAACAGCAAGCCCAGACACCTAACACAAGCAAACAAACAAAACAACAACAACAAAAAGCATTCGTACACATCTTGTAGTGATCAGGGTAATGGTCTTTGATGTTACAGAACTCATCTTGGGGGAGATAAAATAGGACACCATGACCTTCATTTCTCCTTAGCCTCATAACCAAAATGTAAATCTGTAGGGGCAGGTGAGAGGCATCGCAATAGTGTGGAAAAACTGGAAGTTGAGAAACCTAGGTTTCTTGCATTGGACACCACCTTGTTGGGTCTCCTTGGGCAAGTCTTGTCCACTCTCTGGTCCCATTTCCTCATCTAAACAATGAGAGCAGTTCTCTGTGACACCTGAGGTCCCCTTTCTCCCTTGCTCTCCCCCTCCATAAACTCTAAGCAGAAATAGAGTGTGATTGTGAAAGGAGAGAGGAGGAAAGTGTGGAAGTGCATTTAATTCAATGATTTTTAAACTCTAGTTTAAAACTCTAGTTTTATTCATTAAACAGATGTTTACTGAGTATCAATTTATGCCAGGCACTTGGGCATTTTCTTTGCTGAAATGAGATAGGACCCCACCAATGAATAAAGAAAGGCATGCCCTAAATTTATGGAGCCACATATCCACCTTTAAAAAATCATCCAATTTCTTTGCCTTACAAAAATTTGGGTTAAAATAAAATTCGATTTTCCAAAATGTAATCTAAAGCTTTTCAGAAGCAGCTCAGTGCCACAGATGTTGATCAGCCCCTTTAAGACTCTATGCTGGGTCTTCACGTAACACTGGGAACTGAGAGATAAACATGGAGCTCATCTTGTGGGGGAAGACAAGCCAGTGACTCCCACTTAACACACAGTCCATGAGATGTGCTGTAAGAGAGGGTTGAAATTTGTCCCTGGGGGCTGTACTGGGTTGAAGCATGTCCCCCAAAACTTCATGTCTGCTTGAATCCTGTGAATGTTACCTTCTTTGGAAGTAGAGTCTTTGGAGATGTAATTTGTTAAATTAAGATGAGGTCATACTGGATTACAGTGTGCCTTAATCCAATGATTGGTGTCCTTAAAAGAAGACACCAAGAGAAAAGACCTAAATGTAAGATGGGAAACCATAAAACTCCTAGAAGAAAACATAGGCAGAACACTCTCTGACATAAATCGTAGCAATATTTTTTTGAATTTGTCTCCTAAGGCAAAGGAAATAAAAGCAAAAATAAATGGGATCTAATTAAACTTAAAAGCTTTTGCACAGCAAAGGAAACCATCAACAAAATGAAAAGAAAACCTACTGAATGGGAGAAAATATTTACAAATGATATGATTGATAAGGGGTTAATATCCAAAATATATAAACAGCTCATACAACTCAATATAAAAAAAGGAAAACAACCTGATTAAAAATGGTCAGAAGACCTGAATAGACATTTTTCCAGAGAAGACATACATATGGCCATCAGGCACATGAAAAGATGCTCAACATTGCTACTTATTAGAGAAAGGCAAATCAAAACCACAATGAGATATTGCCTCACACCAGTCAGGATGACCATCATCAAAAAGAACACAAACAACAAATGTTGGCAAAGGATGTGGAGAGAAAGGAACCCTTGTACGGTGATGGTGGGAATGTAAATTGGTGCAGCCACTATGGAAAACAGTACGGAGGTTCCTCAGAAAACCAAAAATAGAGCTACCATATGATACAGCAATTCCACTCCTGGGCATATATCCAAAGAAAATGAAAACACTAATTCGAAAAGATACATGAATCCCAATGTTCATAGCAGCATTACTTATAACAGCCAAGAGATGGAAGCAATGTAAGTGCCCATCAAGGGATGAATGGATAAAGAGGATGTGATATACATACATATATACATATATACATATATATATATATATGAAATGGAATACTACTCAGTCATTAAAAAAGAATAAATTCCTGCCATGTACAACAATATGGATGGACCTGGAGGGTATTATGCTAAGTGAAATAAGTCAGACAGAGAAACACAAATAGTGTATGTTATCATTTATATGTGGACTCTAAAAAAATAAAACAAATGAATGAACATAACAAAACAAAAACAGACTCACAGATATAGAGAACAAACTAGTGGTTACCGGTGGGAAGAGAGAAGGGGGAGGGGCAAGATAGGGGTGGGTGTTAAGAGGTACAAACTACTATGCATAAAATAAATAAGCTACAAGGATATATTGTACATCACAGGGAATATAGCCAATATTTATAGTAAGTAAATGGAGTATAATCTATAAAAATGTTGAATCACTATGTTGTTGTTGTTGTTGTTTTTTGCGGTACGCGGGCCTCTCACTGCTGTGGCCTCTCCCGTTGCGGAGCACAGGCTCCGGACGCGCAGGCTCAGCGGCCATGGCTCACGGGCCCAGCCGCTCCGCAGCATGTGGGATCTTCCCAGACCGGGGCATGAACCCCTTGTCGCCTGCATTGGTAGGCGGACTCTCAACCACTGCGCCACCAGGGAAGCCCGAATCACTATATTTTATACCTGAAACTAATATAACATTGTAAATCAGCTATACCTCAATTAAAAAAAAAGAAAGACACCTGGAGATAAAGGGTGGGGAAAGGCCATGTGAAGACAGAGGCAGAGGTAGGAGTTATGTTGCCACAAGCCAAGGAACACCAGGAGCTGCCAGAAGTTGGAAAAAGCAAGGAAGGATCCTCCCCATGCAACTTTGGTGAGAGCATGGCCTTGCTGACACCTTGATTTTCTAGAGTCCAGACCTGTGAAAGAATAAATTTCTGTTGTTATAAGCCACTCAGTTTGTGGAAAACTGATGCAGGAAGTTTAATACAGGGCATAAAATGAAGTATGTTGAGAAATAATGATGAGTTATTATCTTAAGTTCGCAGCAATCTGATGTTACAAAAGTCTAATATTATTACTGGACCTATTAAGTCATATTATCACTTATACTTTATACATATTTATCACTTAGACTTATTATTATTGAAGTCATTATTATTTATAGACTTATTTATTATTACTATCCTAATCGAGCAGAATTTGACTGAACTAGGCCAAGAGGTTAGTGGTAAAGAGGCTTAGGAGTCAAACAGAACTGGATTGAAAACCCCAGCTTTGGGTACGTGTTAGCAGTGTGACCTCAGGCAAGTGATTTTGCCTCTCAGAGATTTCCTCACCTGTAAAATAAGGATACCAAACCCTCTTCATCAGGTTACTGTGAAGACTAAGTGAGATCCCTCATTTAAAACCACGTAGCCCAGAGCCTGGCACATAGTAAAACCTCAGTAAAAGCCAGTTGACTCTTATGACCAGAGCACACAGTAGTCATACCTTACCTAATGTTACCTCAGTTAACCTCTCTCCCGCGACCCTGACGGTTTCCTTCATTGTACCACCAGTAATCATCTTTCTTTTTTTATTGGCTCTCTTCCCACCAGCATGTAGAATGTGAGCCCCGTCAGACAGGGGCAGAGTCTCATTTACGGCTGGACGCCCAGGACCTAGCACAGAGCCTGGCGCATATTTGTGAGGTGGGTGGATGAATGAATGAACAGTGAACACCTTGTCTTGTAAGTATTAAATGAAGACACGTTTAATCAATATCTTTCCTTTTATTCCATCTGTAGCTCCAAATAATTGCGTTAGGATTCCTCTGCAGTCCTCCGCACCATCAACAGTTTCTCTTGCCTACTGCTTTAAGCCCCTTTGGTAGGAACCTAGCCTCCCTGATATGTAAGATATGGGTGTCCTGGGATCTCCAAAAGTATGGGGCTGAATCCTTGCTGGAGATGATGGACTGTGGGATGTCAGAACCACACCTGGCACATAGTAAGGGAATTTCCCCCTCCTCCCACTTGCTCTGTTTATTATTCATTATAGGGCATGAGGGTGGAGGAGACAAAGGGGCTGAATTGAGGGATGACAGGGAACAATTCGGGGATTTATAAAATCCCTGTGAATATCTTCCTTTTTTTTGGAGTTGGGTTAGCCTGGGACACTGCCTGCTTCCAGTGGTACCATCAAATAGGTCTTCACAAAACCAATCTGCATCTCAAGCGATCCCAGTCTCCTCTGTATTCCCCACATACCTAGGAGGACACAGTGGTTGTGAGTGGGGATTATCAGGGTGTCAGAGAGGGCCGGTGTCATAATGATAAGATGCCCTGAACTGGAGGCTTGTCAGTTATCTCTGCAAGAGGTGGATCAACATCCTAGGTCCTCATTGCATTGCAGTTCTTGGTCCTCTGTGGGAAAGGGTGACCTGCAGGTAGGGCCTTTCATAGCTCTAGAACCAAGGTGGACCCAACAATTAAACAGGAAGAAGGGCTAGCCAGCCATCCTGAGATCCCAGGAGAGTGATCCATTCTTCCCAGATTTCCTCCAGGCCCTTTACTGCTGAGCCTGAAGGCTCCGCTTGGCTCCCGTGGTCTCTAGAGAATGCAGGCACTAAGCCGTCTTGTTGGGAGGGTTGTCCTGACCTGCAATGAGCCTGTCCCAGGCCTCCTGCCTCCTGCCCACCTTGCCGCCCCTCACAGGGCCTGGCTACCCAACAGACTGTGTGCAGACAGGCGTGGCCAGGTTGCCCTCCAGGGGTCAGTGCCAACACTCAGTGAAAAGGGGTAAGTGTCCAGGCCTTTGGGGCTGGTTCAAGTAAGATGAGAGGATCAAAGACACTCTCCTCCAGGGATTGAAATGATTTCTGACTTGGCTTATTTAAAATTGTGAAAGTGACCTCGTTAGTGATCAGAGCAGTACAGCTCTCTGGAATCTGGCCCTGGAGTGATTTTCACATCAGCCTCTGTCTCAGTGACTGAGGACCTCGGGAACTCTTCTTTTCCTTCAGGCCCGAGGCCCCTCAGGCACTTCTTCCAGTGGGCCAAGCGGTGGTGGGCAGAGGAGCGGATCTCCCCACTCCGCAGGGCGTAGATGATGGGGTTGACCATGGAGTTGACAAGGCAGAGCAAGGAGCAGAAGGCAAAGACCTTCTTGACCTGTTTGCTTAGAGTGGTGGCCAGGCTGTAGACCATGAGGGTCAGTACCGGGACCCAGCATATGAAGAGCACAGCCAGCAGCACCCCCAAGGTCTTGGCCAACCACACATCCAGCCTCATCCGGGTCATTCCGAGCACTTGCCTGTCCCGGTGCTCAGCCAAGCTGGCTGCGTGCTGACGGGCCTTCCAGAGGACACGTGCGTAGGTATAGATGACGCCAGAGAAGAGGACAGCAATGAACAGGAGCCAGCTCAGCAGGTAGTCATTGGGAATCAGGGGGAAGAGCTCAGAGCAGGGCCTGGGACAGCAAGTCCATCCCATGAGAGGCAGAGAGGAAACCAATGCTGAGAGGACCCACATGATGCCCAGGGTCACCAGTGCCCTCCCACGGGTGAGTAGGGCTTTGTATGTAGGTGGGTAGCGCAGACAGAGGTAGCGGTCAATGGCAGTCAGCAGCAGGCTGCCTACAGAGGCCGTGAAGGTCATAGTCACGCTGCCAATCTTCAGCAGGAAGACAGCTTTGGAATCAACGCCATGGAAGACGTGGAAATTTACAAAGTTGAAGGCAAAGACCACACTGGCCAGAAAGTCAGCCCCAGCCAAGCTGCCAATGAACAGGTACGAGGGCTTCCTGCGGAGCCGGTGTGAGGACAGGATCAGGTAGAGCACCACCAGATTCTCCAGGGCGCTTAGTATGCCCAGAGAGGTGCACAGCACCGCGATAGCTATCTTTTGGGAACTGCTCAGGATCATGTAATCCTTCATGGGGTTGAAATCCAAGCCATCAGTGGAGCCATTGGCTGCCTGTATCTTCCAGCATATCTCCATGGGTTGGGTCCCTCGGCTTCTGCCGGGCTTACCAAGAAGCCTTTGCTGTAGTACAATGAGAAGAAGAAATGAGTTCTTTTTCAATCAGTGCAATAATGACCTCATACAATCACCGACTCTAACCAAACACTTTACTTGTGTGATGGATCATATGTTGAAACAGTGATTTATATTGGTTTCTCTCTATTTTACCCTTTCTTCATCCTAGTGGGGTGCTAGGTCTGTACTGGTTGCCTTAGGAGAGGCATGTGGGAACTCAAGAAGCAGAAGTGACCTGCAAACCATATGATCTCACTTACATGTGGAACTGAAAAACAAAAACAACTAATTCATAGATACAGAGAAGAGCTTTGTGGTTGCCAGATGCAGGGGTTGGGGTCGGGGGGTGAAATGGGTAAAGGTAGTCAAAGGTACAAGCTTCCAATTATAAAATAAGTAAGTCTTGGGAATGTACGTACAACATGGTGACTATAGTTACTAATACTGTATTTGAAAGTTGCTAAGAGAATAGATCTTAAAAGTTCTCATCATAAGAAAATAAATTTGCAGCTATGTGTGGTAACGAATGTTAATGACTTACTGTGGTGATCATTTCACAGTGTATACAAATATCAAATCATTATGTTGTATACCTGAAACTAGTATAATGTTACATGTCAATTATACCTCAATAAAATAAAATAAGAAATAAAATAAAAGTGACCTGCCTTTTTTGGTCTTTTTTAAAAAACCGGAAAACTACATCTAAGACTTCCCTTTGAAAGTAAGGAAATCTCCAAGGGTCAAAAACCGAGAGGAAATCAAAACCAAGAAGAAATGGAATCCAGAGTGATCTGGTGGAGGGTTTTTTGCATTGATGTTTTATTTTGTTTTGTTTGCCAGTTTTGGTAAGTAAGATGCTGAAGTTTTAACAACTGTTTAGGGATGGGAAACAAGACTTGGGTTTCACACCAGTAGATTTGCCAGATAAACTATAGGAGTCCAGATAAATTTGAATGTCAGGTAATGAATCATTCTTAGTATAAGAATGTCCTAAATATTGAGAAAAACAAACAGGGCACCCAAATATTGTATGGGACATTATTAGAAAGCAAACTCTGAGTTTCTCTAGAGGGATATACTCTTGTATCCAGGTCACACAAGATTTCCACATATAAAGGCCCATGGAATTTGAGCTCACAATGCAAACTTACAAAATGCACAAGGAAACATGAACAAGAGTTAGCAGAAATGTCAGACAGTAGAATTAGACTTCCAAGAATTCATACAATTCTTGGGTTTATGTTATAGAATATGTTTATAAGCTTTTGTTTGTTTTTTTGTTTTGGCTGCACGGCATGTGGAATCTTAGTTCTGACCAGGGATTGAACCCACACCCCCCCCTGCATTGGAAGCACGGAGCCTTAACCACTGGACCACCAGGGAAGTCCGAATATGTTTAATATGATTAAACAATAAGGTATCAAAACCATGATTACCTAATGAGAGACTAGGCAGAATTGAAAAAGAATCAAGTAGAGTTTCTGGAAGTGAAAAATGAAGTCATTGAAAACAGTAACCCTTAAGGGTAGGTTAAAGGGCAGAAGAGAATAGCTGAAAAGCTTTGATCTAGAAGGTGGATCTGAAGAAACTTCTCAAAATGCAGCACAAGGAGATAGAGAGATGGGAAATATGAAAGAGAGGTTAAGAGACAGGAAGAATTGAAAGAGAAGGTTTAAAATATATCTGACTGGAGTTTCAGAAGGGAAGAATAAAATTGGTGGTGGGCATTGAGGAGGCCATATTCAAAGAGATGCTAGTGGAAAATTGCCCAGAATTCTCCTGGACATGACTCTTCAGATTCAGAAATCACAGTGAACTTCGAGCATAATTTTTTTTTTAAACTGAAGTATAGTTGATTTACAACGTTGTGTTAGTTTCAGGTGTACAGCAAAGTGATTCAGTTTATATATATATATATATATATATATATATATATATTCAGATTCTTTTCCATTATAGGTTATTACAAGATACTGAATATAGTTCCCTGTGCTATACAGTAGGACTTTGTTATTTATCTATTTTATATATAGTCGTGCGTTGAACAGAATTTTAAAAACAAACCAATGGGAATTCCCTGGTTGTCCAGTGGTTAGGACTTGGCGCTTGCACTGCCAGGGCCGGAGTTCGATGCCTGGTCGGGGAGCAAAGATCCCACAAGCCACACAGCAGGGCCAAAAACAAAACCAACCAACCAGCAAAAACCAAACAAACAGAAAAAGAATTCCACATTCACATATAGCATAATACAACTTCAGAATACCAAAGACAAAGAAAAAATTTAAAACAATCAGAGAGAAAAGGCAAAGGAATCACAATTAAATTTAAAAGCAGATTTTCCAATAACAGTAATAATAGCCAGAAGATAGAGGGAAAAAAGCTACACTATCACTCAAAATAAAGAAATACAAGTAGAATTGTCCACTAACAGACTCTCACTGAAGGAAGTCTAAAGCATATGCCATTAGAAGAAGGAAATTCTTCACAGAGGGAAGAACAGAAAGGCAACCAGGAATTGTGAACAAATAAATTGATAAATGTATGAGTAAATAAAAAAATACATATAAAGCAACAATAATAATGATGACTGAGACTGATTTGGAGGGTATAAAAACAAAGTGGAAGTAAAATTGTGAATGACAGTAACACAAGGCAAGAGAGATGAATAGAGTTGAAGCTTTATTTAGGAAGTGAGTAAAGGTATTGATCTAATTTAGGATTTTAAAAATCAGGCATAATCTCTTACTTGGTTTACTACAATAGCTTCCTAACTGACTCCCTGCTTTTAACCAGGCCTGTCTAATTTCGGTACAACAGCCAAGGTGATCCTTTTCAAATATGTCGTCACTCCTCTGTCCCAAACCCCACACAGCACCCATTCCATTCAGTGTAAAAGCTAAAGTACTAACAGTGGCCTAGAAGGCTGTGTGTGTTCTGGCCCCATTGACTCTCTGACCTCCCTACTAACCATGCTTCCCTTGGTCAACTAGCTTTAGCCACACTGGCTTACTAATGGGTACTCCCCCCCGCCCCCCCCACGGGGCCTTTGCAGTAGTTGTTCCCTCTTCCAGAACACTCTTTTCTATGCATGGGTCAATCTCACCTTCTTCAAGTTGTGGCTCAAATTTTGCCTTTTCAAAGACATCTACCCTATCATCGTATTTAAAACTGTAGCTCACCCCACCCTCCTGCTCATCTGGTCCCCCTTACTCTGCTCTATATTTTATTTTTTCCATATCACTAATCACCTTCTAACATATAATTTACCCTACATAATCTTTATTGTTTATTATCTGTTCCACTAGAATTTAAGTTCCATAAGGTCAAGGAACTGACTATTTTGTTCACTGATATAAGGCTTTAGAATAGTTTTTGGTACATAGTAGATACTCAACAAATACTTGTGAAATTGAATAGTCAGTGATTTTTAGCATTCCTCTCTCAGAAGTTAGCAAATTAAGCAGACAATATACTAATTAATATGATATATAAGATTTGAACATGCAATTAATAAGTTTGATCTAATAGTCATATATGGAACTCAGCACCCAATAATTAAAGAATACTCATTGTTTTCAAGCAAATGTGGACATTTACCAAAACTGGTCTTGTCTTAGGTGAAAAGTAAATTGCAACAAACTTTAAATTATCTGTAACATACAAACCATGTTCTCTGACCACAGTGCAATTTATTTAGATATCAAGAACTTAAAAAATGTAACTAACAAACTTCACAGGTTTGAAGCTCTTGAATAATTCCTGAACCAAAAAATCATAAAGGAAATGAGAAAATTCTTAGAATTATAACATAGTAAAATGAGTGGGATGCATCTGAGTAGTACTGAAAGGGAAATTTATAGGCCTACGTGCTCATATTAGAAAAGAAAAAAGACTCATGAGCTAAACATCCAACTCATGAAATTAGAAAAAGAGCAACAGCAAAAATACAAAGAAGGCAGAAGGCAGAAATAATAAGAGCAGAAATTGATGACATGGTAAAACAACAGAGAATAAGAAGCCCTGACAAAGACCGAAACTAGTTCTTTGAAAAGATCATAAAACAGACAAACCTCAGGCAAGATTACTTAAGATGAAGGAGAGAACCTACAAATAAGAAAAATATCAGGCATGAAAGAGAAATGGTCAATAATCCTTTAAAAAGATGTTTAACCTCAATAGCATCCACAGAAAGGCAAGTTTCACTCCCATCAGATCAGCAAAAAGATGAATCTGACAATATCGAGTACTGGAGAGGATGTGGAGTGCAAACGGTCAGCACTGTGACGGGGGTGTAAGTTGGGGCAAACACTGTGGAGAGCAGTTTGGCAAAATCTAGTGAAGTTGAAGATGAGCCACTGCCCTGAGATGCACCAATTCCGCTCCTGAAAATGTGCCCAAGGAGACATGTACAATCAACATTTTTGAAATAGCAAAAGAAAACCACCATCACCACCACCACCAAAAGTCCATCAATTGCAAAATGCATAGATAAATTATAGTACATCCATACACAGAAATAAATGAAACAGTAAAAATGAACTAGAACTATATGTGTCAACAGGGATAAATGTTAACATCACACCATTGAGCCAAAAGTCCAGTCCCTTAGGGGAATGTAGAGGATTTATAGAGTAGATAAAGAGAAGAGAACTCGCGGACAGTGGCAGAGGAACTAGAGAAGCAGGAGCGAGTGCAGGTTTTTTCCCCGGACTAGACTAGAAAGCAATGTCTTGCTTGAGGCAAAGGGAAAAAATGTGTTCCTCTATGTAGACATTTCCCTGTATTCTTTTTTTTTTTTTTTTTTTTTTGCGGTACGCGGGCCTCTCACTGTTGTGGCCTCTCCCGTTGCAGAGAACAGGCTCTGGACGCGCAGGCTCAGCGGCCATGGCTCACGGGCCTAGCCGCTCCGCGGCATGTGGGATCCTCCCGGACCGGGACATGAACCCGTGTCCCCTGCATCGGCAGGCGGACTCTCAACCACTGCGCCCCCAGGGAAGCCCCTC